AAAAAAAAGTATTGGAAACTATTTAGGCCCGCTTTTAAGCTTTTTGGTTTAAGGCTTCTTGTCCCCACTGCAGTGTGGCAGATTACGGGCTTAGCTCTCGAGATCCCTGGAGGTTTAGCGTGCCTCAAAAGCCTTTAGTTATTATAGGGTTTAGGGTTTAGGGCTTTTAGGGCTTTTAGGGCTTCGGGTTGAGGGTTTAGGGTGTAGAGTTTAGGGTTTTGGGTCTTAGGGTTTAGGGCTTTAGGGTTTGAGGGTTTTAGTGGTCATGGTGAGCTTGTCGTGCTTGAAGGTTCGTAGCAGATTTACGGTTTACCCTGAAGCTCCATGTATCCATACAGTATATAAAGTATATATACTTAGGCCATAAAGTCAAAGTACTCACATAGGAACCCCTTCGAGGCTTAAGTATATACTATAATTTGGGTACATGGAGCCTTTGGTTTAGGGATCAGGGGCCTTGCTGTTGTTGTTGTTTCTTGGGCCTTAGAGATGGGAATGTTCCGGGTTTGCTCGGACATTGTCAAGGTTTACAAGGTTTGGGGTTTAGGGAAAGAGTTCTTGGCAGTTCGTGGTGTTTGCGGCCTGAAGGCTCTCTGTTGTGAGTTCTTAGACATTGCCGCGACCAGCGCATGTTCAAAACACAGCACCAGACGCGTTGGCAGCAACATTGGGGGGGGGGGAGCTTCGAGCCAGCGAGAGCTGTGTAGAAAATGCCCCGGATTTCATGGGGCGGGCCTAGGGATTATAGAACCCGCTCACCATCTTTATGCGCGATTCTGCGTCAGTGGATATCACTGCGAATCCTCGCTAAACCCTACTTCCGTTCAGGGTTCTGGGTTTTATAGGATTTATATTGTGGGATTTAGGATGATCTGGTTAAGGAGTTGGTTAAGGACAAGAGCAGGACCTGGCGGTTAGACCTTAACGATGACAAGCGGTATGGTATCCACGTACTGCTTCCCCCGACAAACACTAACGCCCCGAACCCAGTGATTCTCGTATTGCTTCGACAGTGCAGAAAAGAATGCTCCCAACACCTGGGGATGCAATAAGGTGCAATACTTCAGAGGATACTCAAACAGAAGTGGGTATTGCGCAGGGTAGCTGTATGGCCACGAAAGCAACTTATCCTCAATTTAGACGCCTTACAAGTCTACCGGTATGAATTCCTCTAATAGACCCCAAAGTCCCAAAACCCGCAAACCTAGCTCATTCCCTGTACGCAGCTCGATACAGCACATAAACATTCGAGTCAAAGCCAACCCCAAAATCAATGGCCAGTATACAGCCCCGGACCTAAACAAACAAATACATATTGCACACAGGTTCTTGTAAGCCAGACCTAAACCCCTAAACCCTAAACCCCTAGACCCTAAACCCTTCTAAACCCCTAAACCCTTCTATAGAGTCCTTTAAAGGACACATTGAGCCTCCGTCATCGCGGCCCAGAAGCACAGGCGAACGCCGCATGGCAGAAGCTTCCAGGACTTTGGGAAATGACTCGTTTTTTGTTTTTGGAGGCCGACGTCAAAAGTCTTCGGGTTAATGGCCTCCATAAGGCGTCTATATATATCTATATCTATCTATATCTATCTATATCTATATCTATATCTATATCTATATCTATATCTATATCTATATCTATATCTATATCTATATATATATATATAAGTTCTAAGGGCTCTCCAGGAGTTTCTTCGGGGTTCTGTAAGGATCTCGGGGGTGCTTGGATTTCACGCTGCGGGCCCCCGGATACGATTTATCATGGAGGGCTCCCAAAAAAAAAACAGATGTCGGGGTGTATGCAGCGTCGGGTCTGAAGAGGTAGGAATCTCAAGGTTTGGACCTCATTTTAGGCTTTCGGGTTCAGGTCCAGGTTTGCGGTTTAGGTTTCAGGATCTAGGGTTTAGGTTTAGGGTCTAGGGTGTAGGTTGTAGGGTTTAGGCTTTAGGGTTAAGGGTCTTTAGGGTTTAGGTTTTAGGGCCCTGCGGTGTTGAAGGAGTGGGTTCTAAAGCTTTGCGTCAAGGTCGAGCCGCCGGCAAGCACCAAGCATCTGGTTCATGGGTCGAAGTCTCTTCAGTATTTAGGGTTTAGAGTTTAGGGTGTAGGGTTTAGGGTATAGGGTTTAGGGTGTAGTATTTAGGGTTTAGGGTGTGGAGTTTAGGGTTAATTCGGTGGCAGGGCTGCAGGATCTTAAACCGTGTCGGGTGGCACGGCAGAATCTGAAAGACCCATGTACGAATATAGTCTACACTGAATCCCGAAGTTACTCCACAGCAACTCGGCTGCGGTCTACAGAGTCGAAATGTGTATACAACCCACATACATGACCAATTTTGTCGAGCATTGCAACTGGAACTGTCAGAGTCCCAACGTTGAACCCAAACTGGATTACATACTGACTGCTGTCCTTTGAGCAAGGGTGCTGCTAACCCTAAACCCTAAACCCTAAAACCCCTGAACCCTAAACCCTAAAAGCCCTAACCCCTATATAGACCCTAAACAAACCGGAAGCCCATGACACGAAATTCCAGGGAAACACTGGGCTGTATGGTCTTTGGGCCAAAAGAGCGCTCAACGGTAAGCCCTCAACCCGAAACCCTCAAGCCTAAAAGCTCAGCGATGTGCTGTTTCTTAAGGTGCTCTTAGGCCCTAGGACCTAGGATATGGTCTTCGACTCTAACCCAGAGCCTCCGCAGATAGCACCATTCTGGAGTTAGGTCCCTAAAACCTTAATAAGGATAGTCTTTGGGGGCCCAATTCCGTAATGGTACTATATGTAAAGCCTCTGGGTAAACCATAACGCTCCTGAAACCCTAAACTCCAAACCCCTAAACCCTAACCCGAAACCCTAAAACCCTAAAACCCTAAAACCCTCAAACCCTAAAACCCTAAACCCTGGAACCCTAAAACCCTATAGACCGAAAAAGATCCTCCGCACTGGCCTGAGAAAAGCCATCTCTACCTCGAGCTCACCATGCCTCAGATCACTCCAACGGCTCCATGTATAGGGGGTTTAGGGTTTAGGGCTTAGGGTGTAGGGTTTAGGGTTTAGGGGTCTAGGGGTTTAGGGGTTTAGGGTTTACCTGTAACCGAAAAGACCTACCGTTATACCCATATAGTATGTACTTAGACCCTATAGTACCTATATATGAACCCCTTAAATTTAAGGCCTAAGTATATAATATTATACCTGTAACCGAAAAGACCTACCGTTTTAAGGAACTATATACTGAAACCATAGTAAGGAACCCTAAGAAGGTAGGTCTTCTCGGTTGCAGGTACAGTACCTACTTAGGCCTTAAAGGGGTTCCTACATAGGTACTTTAGTATCTAAGTATATACTACATGGGTACATGGAGCCTTTGGGTACTCGATCTGTGCTTCAACACGCCCTACGCACCAAAAGCAGGCCAGGGTATAGGGTTTGCGGTCGCTTAATGTTTAGGATGCATCAGGGTCTTATACGGGTTCATGATTTAGGATACCCTAAACCCTAAACCCTAAAATACACAACCTGTGCAACCCAGACCCGTAGAGTCTTCACGGCTTTCCGGTTGTACGCCAGTGATGGAGGTGTGTACAAAGAACATGCGTACGTGTGCCTGCCTACCTTCTTCCCTGCCTGCCTGCCTGCCTGCCTACCTACCTACACCTACCTACCTGCCTACCTATATAAGCACATACATCAACTCATCCTGTTTTACATACGTTTGTATATACACACAAACACCCATGCAGAGGCACACGCTTGTATTTTATGCCATACAAACCTATACATCTGCATAATCATAATCATATAAATATATATATATAAATATATAAATATAAATATATATATATATACAGACATAGATATACATGCACATACACACATTTTCACTACAAAGCATACAACAACATCCCTTAACCGAACGCATGCTTGCATGCTATATGAGCAAGGCAGCACACATACATAGATGCAAGTGGGTGCATGTATGTAGGTACGAGATGTACTTGCCTCTGCCATACAAACAAGCATGTGACTATGCTAAAGTATGTGTGAACGCATGTATGTTTGTATCTATGTATGTATGTCTACTTGGAGGTATGCATGCATGGATGCATGGACAATGGATGCACGCATGCAGGTATGCAGGTATGTATGCATGTATGCATGCATGTATGCATGAGTGCGTGCATGCATGAATGAATGGCTGAATGAATGAACTAATGAACGAACGATTGCATAGATGAATTAAATGAATAAATGCAGGAAACAAGGAAGGGAGGACGGCTATAAACCAACAAATAGCGAACAAAACATCGAATAGAATCATGACCGCACTAATGAACGGATGGATGGAGGGATGGATGGATGAGCTAATGGATGAATGGATGAACGAACCGATGAACAAATGAACGAACAATGAACAAATGAATGACTGCACAAGTCAAAAAGAATGGATTGCCGAACATGCATCAATAATATCTATTCAAACATTGCCGTGTATGTACATGCATACATAAACGGACGACCATCACGAACAAATGTCTCCTCGATGGAAACAAAGTTGGACAGGGGCACCTCGAACCCAACTTATGAAACCATGAACAACCGCATGAGACGCGATCAAGCCGCCTGATACAGCCTATGCACAACCCTAACCGAAACCGTGTTAGATCCCATAGCAGCCATATAAGCCCCCTAAACCCTAAACCCTAAAAAGCTGTGCAAAGCTTTAAACCTTTAAAAAGCCACTAAAGAACCCCAAACCCTAAACCCTAAAACCCTAATAGAGCTCTTAGAAAGTGGTTAAAACACCGGGTACCGGGTTTCCTCTGGGCCGCGAGCTCTACCGAGTCGAGAGCAAAGCGCAAGCGCTCCTCCGCGTCGTTCTAGGCGTTTCGGTTTAGGTTATGAGTTATGGGGTTTAGAGTTTAGGGGTTTAGGGTTTAGGCTTTGCTTCGAAGTTTAAGGCTCGTCTAAACAGTTTTGAGCGTTGCAAACATGTAAGCTTCTAACAAGTCTTCAAAAGCTCTCTGGTTCAGGAATCGTCGGGGATTCCGACAACGGTTGGAAGGACTCTCTGATGATTTCTAAGGGCTCTGATGAAACTCAGGTTTCAAGACTCAAGCGTTCGAAAGCCTTTCTGTATAGCTTCAGCGTTTGGGAGCTTTAGGGCTTAGGGGATTTAGGTAAGGTTGCTCTAAGACTGGGCATGGTTGCCTGAAAGCACTTCGTGGACAACAGCTTAGATGATTCGGAGTTCAGGGGTTCCTGCACCCTAAACCTTTTTATAGAGTTCTATCTTGGAGCGAGCTACTTGACTACGGACCACCTGGCTCCGAGAAGTCTAGCAGATGCAGCCTAGACCCTAAACCCTCAAGGTTCACATTTTAGACTATGTAATGAAATGGCTTACGACCAAACGATTCAAACCCTAAACCCTAAACCCCTAACCCTAAGCCCGAAACCCTAAACCCTAAACCCTCAACCCTAAGCCCCAAACCCCAAACCCTAAACCCTAACCCCAAACCCTCAGATCAAGAGCTTAGGACAAGGATTTGAGAGCTCCGGGCTGAAGATGTCACCTTCGAACCCAAAGGCTCCATGTACCTATATAGGGTTCCTTTAAGGGTTACTATAAGGTCGGTATAAGGGTTCCTTTAAGGGTTCTATAGGGTTTAGGGTTTAGGGTTGTAGTTATATACTTAGGCCTTAAAGGGGCTCCTATATAGGTAGTTTAGGGTCTAAGTATATACTATATGGGCACATGGAGCCTCAGGGGAAGTCTGAGGACAAGGATTGGAAGCTTCGGGTTTCGGTTTAAGAAGCCCAAGATTTCGCCGGCGTGGAGACATGACATCTACTTGGGTTTATAGGGTTTAGGGTCTAGGGTAAACCCTCAAGCTTACAACCGCAACTAGACCCAAAGGCTCCATGTACCTCTACAGTAGATACTTTGGCTTTAAAGGGGTCCCTTTTTTAGGTACTTTAAGGTCTATAAGTATCTACTCTATGGGCCCATGGAGCCTTAAACCCTAAGCCCTAAACCCCATAGAACCCTTAAAAGAACCCTTATACCGACCTTAGAGTAACCCTTAAAGGAACCCTATATGGGCCCATGGAGCCTTAGGGCTCGACCCCCGAGGATCCAAAAGATGTCAGTGCGCCTGCCCGGGAGCCGTCGGCGCCAGGCGCGCCGGAAAGGAAACGTGACCCAGTGGGTCGTCCTTCAGAAAAATAACAATAATCATATTAATAATAAAAATATAACATAATAATAGTAATAATAGTAATAGTAATATAATGGTAATAAAGTAATGATAATAATAATAGTAAGAATAACAACATCAACAACAACAACAACCATAATAATAATAATAATAGGTGATGCTTGTGCTTTTGATTCGGCGGCAGTGGGTTCTGCTTCGGGTTGGGGTGACTCTGAGACAGTGTAAACTCCGAAAGCACTGACTTCAGAAGACAGGATAACTGGGTTTAGGGTTCATAGGGTTTAGGGTTTATAGGGTTTATAGGGCTTCTAGGGTTTAGGGTAAGCTTGTCCTGAAGGGCGTCTTTGTCCCACACTTCGAAGCGCACCAGGGTGGTCTCAGCCTTTGCTTCAGGACGCCCCGCAGGTCTCATAAAGAAAGGACCCCGGACTTTCTGAAACCTCAGAGGTCCCCTAAATCCTAAGCCCTAAAGCCTGAGCCCTAAACCCTATAAACCCTAAACCCTAAACCCGGAACACTAAACCCTAAAACCCCAAAACCTTATACACCATAAACCCTAAAACCCTAAACCCTAAACCCGAAACACTAAACCCTAAAACTCTATAAACCCATAAACCCTAAAACCCTAAAACCCTAAACCATAAACCTGTAAACCCTCATAGTGTTCGAGTGCAACGTTGGGTTTCAGAGTCGACATGACATCGGGATTTTTTAAGGTCTGCAGCCCAAGGGTCCTAAAGACCCCCCAACATGAGATACTTGAGTTTCGGATAGTAGCTATGTAGCTTAGTTTTTGAGACAGTATATGAGTTGTATTGGGTACTTGGACCCCTAGGTTAGGGTATGGACCCTCTCTCCATTCAATGAGTCAATGAGTCTCGGGAACATCGTCATGATCCAATCCAAAGGACTATTAAACACGTGTGCACGCTTATGACACCCTGACAAGAATCAAAAGCACTAACAAAAACATACCATACAAACCAGAACCTTAAACATCCCTAAACCCCAAAATCCTTAAGCCCCAAAAGCCCCATAAAACTCCCGTCGACTCAGACCCTAAACCCTTAAGCCCAAAAGCCCCATAAACTCCGATAAACATAGACCGGGAGACTGGGATGTCGAAGAACCATGTCTCCGAATCCCATCGAGGATCCTCGTGCTTCGAACTTCAGTGCAGGGTCGAGGGTTTAGGGGATTAAGGCTTAGGGTTTAGGGTTTAGAGGTTTAAGGCTTGGGGTTTAGGGTTTAGGGCTTTAGGTTTTAGGGCTTTAGGTTTTGAGGGTTTAAGGCTTTAGACCCATGCATTAGGTACTTAGGCTTGGGATAGTAGTAGCTCATGGGGGTAGTTCTCTAAATTAGGGCTCCCCAAAACTAGCACGGCACGGCACCCTTCTACAAAAAGGGGCCCTAAACGGGGCCCTAAACCCTAATTTGGAGAACTACCCATGTAGACTAAAACCCTAAACCCTAAAACCCTAAAACCCTAAACCGTAAAACCCTAAAACCCTAAACCCTAAACCACTAACCCCTAAACCCTAGTACTGGCGGAGTCTTGGAGGACCCTAAGGGTTCGGATTTTCCAGGCACTTGGGCTGTCACTGGGATATCTTTAGGGCTTAGGGTTTAGGGGCTAAGGGATATCTTTACGGCTTAGGGTTTAGGGGTTAAGGGGGCTTTTGCAGAGTAGGACTTCCGGCGTAAGGGTTTTTGGGGTCCATTGCAGGTCCGAAAGGTCTCCAGTCCAAGGCTTAGCTGAGCAGGTAGGGCATATCATGCTTCTGCAGGGACTGTACAAGGGTTCTTTACACGTTGACAAGCCGTGAAACAGGGTTTGTTATTTAACGGGCGAGGGTTCTGTTTCGGGGATTGGGGGGGGTCGGGGGTTTCAACTGCTTGCATCTGGCAAAGCCCGACCGAAGATCTGAATCAGTGGATGGCTTGCTTACGTAGTTGAGGATCCTGAACACAAGGAGAGAAAAGGACCTAAAACCCTCAACCCTAAACCCTAAACCCCAAACCCTCAACACTCAACACTCAACCCTAAACCCCAAACCCTCAACCCTCAACCCTAAACCTCAACATCCTCCGGAAAGTCCCGAAAGCCTGGACACCTGAGGATCACTTAGATCCAAAGACCTTACACTCAGTATGGCACTGAAGCCTGCAACCCCAATATTGGGGTCGGTACCCCAATATGGGGTCCTTAGCGCCTTAAGGTAAGGGAATACAAAAGCCTGAAGGATTCGGATCGATTTTTGGGGGAGGCAGATTTTAATATTATTGGCAGGTGCGACCCCGATGCTAGGCCAAGGTCCATTGTAGAAGCACATGAAAACCGCATAAAGAACCCTTACAAATCCTGGTGTAAACCAAGGTATCATCTTTCCGTGCCGTGTTTCCAAGCAGTCGTCGACAACTGCGGTGCTCTGCTTCTGTCGCCCCACCTTCACCTGGATTGGCTTAAGCCCTGGATTCTCTTAAACATGGTTAAAAGGGTTGGTGTCTGCTGCAGAAAGCGTTTTACAGGCTCCATATGCCTCCACAGCATATGCTTACTCCCTCATGTGGCTCCAACGTAGCAACTTATTTTAGCGACAAAAATTACACTAGACTATATGGCTATATTCGTTCTATAACAGTCGCGATGAGCCTACACATATTCGGCAGGTTGTATTTTCTATTTGGGTCATAAAGCCAAACAATTAAAGCTTTCATGCTGCTGGGCCCTGAACTTCCAAACTTCCCCAAACAACACAGCCCTGAAGACCAAGCACAAGGCAACCTCCAGGCGCATGTTGCAGGCTGCCGCAACATTAGGGTTTAGGGTTTGGGGGT